CGAAACTTCCTTTTGAAAAGCTTTCGTGGTCATCTGTGGTTCACGTTGATAAGGAGAAGAGTTAGCAAAAGAATTAGCAAGAAAATTCGTTATGAAGGATGTAAAGTATTGCTTTCCTCTCTGAACACGGGCAGCTGCTTTTCGTACAAACTTTTAGCGAAAGCACTTCACTTTTCATAAAGTGACGTATAAAAAGGTTGTAATGTGCGGTAAGAGGAAATGCCGGCACTATCATCGCAGAAAGGTTCAAACAAGATTTATTTCTTCATATCCATCAAGTGAGCAGATTGTGAACATAAAAAATTGCATTTTGAAATAGCCACGCCATTGCATTCCTGGGCCTGTAGTAAACCCCCACCGAGTCGTGACGACTCGCTCGGAGCGCGGCAAATGCCCGGCAAATGCCTCTCTGCTGCCGCCCCTTGATAAAGGATGGGCGACGTGACCGAGGCATATGCCCGGCTTAACGCCGCTGCAACCCCGCCGGCACGACAAGGCAGCACCAGCATGCCCGTCGCGCAGACAGTCGAGAAATAGTGCGTCTTCATTGGAGACGCAAAGACGTGGTGGTGCCGACAAATGACTAGCGGTCGAGTACGCCCAGGGTGATGGTGCCGACCGCTGTCCGTAGATGCACGCAAAGGATCTAAATGCACGTCTAAATGAAGGCATTTCCATTGCCTAAATCTCTTGATTCTAGTTCGTTTTGTTTTCATATAATCTTAAGTATGAACCGTTCGTTTTTCAGTCTTGCTTTCGTACTCGGGGTAATGCTTTTCGTTGCAGATCTGGTGCAATTCGTGCAATACGCGCGCAAGGTCGAATCAAGAATTGGGATCATCCAGGCGGTTGTTTTGGAAGGAAAATTGGATGAAGCCGACTATAACGGATGATGGCGCTTCTCCTCGCATCTACAAGAACAAACACAAGCATGACTCTGCAAAATAGAGAATATAGACTATTTCGATGGAATATGCAACAACAATAATACGAACAAGGTAAACAGGAAACAGCGCAATGTGAAAACTGCCTTGTTTTTTCATTGATTGTTCTATATCTTCACGACTGAGCTTCTTCCGTATTCTTGTCTTCTGCACGCCGGCAACGACAGCACAGTGGCTGTGCGTGTTGCTCATTGCGGTCATTGCGAGTTCGGCGACGGCTGACCGCGGAGTTTTTTGCGGCGGGAGGCCAACGTCCGTCGTGCCCAAAAATTGGAAAGCTTGCAGATGTTTGTTGAAATCGGCTTTAGTTAAAGAGGTTATTGATTTGCTTGCGAGTAACGCACGAATCTTTGAACCCAATGCAAAACAGCAGTGAGCCGGGTTTGCTAGTATGACAACGATACTGTTATGTTGAAAAGGCTACGCCGTTTTTGAGTAGTATAACTCAGATAATCGCCGAGGGCAGGCGGTCGGCAAACTCGCGCTTTTCTGCAGGCGGTCAGCAAATTTTTAGGGCGTGGCCAAACCTTCAGCGGCGGCACTTCCTTTACGGTCGCATATTCTGCCAGCGGGCAGCAATACAGCATTTTTTGCAAGCGCTCGGCAAGTATCGTCGATTCGTTGACTGTACGGACTGGACATAACCGGGGAGCACGCGCCGCGAGGTAAAAGCTTGCTCCAATACAAACTCGCCATTGTTAAAATCGTGCTCTCGCAACATTTTAACCGCGCCGCGCGTGGTCCGTAGCGTCTGAGCAGTCTGTACGGTCAACGAATCGACGATAATTTCTTTCAGCGAGCGCTGGCCAAAATTTCAGCAAACGCTCGGACTCTTTTGACGCATTTTCGAGCGTACGTCGAGCACAGGTAAGACTCTGTGTGGCAGAGGTGTCACCGTTGGTTTAATTACTCAAGTTTGAGGTACTTTCTCTCAGCGGAAAGTACCTGGGGGCTGCGCTGTCCTCCACAAAGGACCGTGCGGCCCCCGAAAATTTTGCATATTCTTGTGGAAAGTCCGCGAGAATGCGGCCACTGCGCCGCAGCTAATCTATGAGTAGACCGCGATTGTTCTCCAAGCATTCGTCTAAAAAATCGCTAAAATTATTCCAAATTTCTGCAGGCGGACCGTAAGAAATCAGCAAACTATTTTTCCGTTGCGCGCTTGCTCAAAATTCGCATGGCCGCCTGCCCCGGCGATTATCTGAGAAGGCTTCCATTACCAAAAATCCCACCAAAAATTTTTCGTGATGCTTCTTCTGAACGCTGTTCCATAGAGGTTCATTTGAGTGAGAGAGTACGAGACAGAAAATTCTCTACCTGTTGCATTTATGAGATTGCTGATGATAGGAAATCAAAAACAAAACATTTTCAAAAGATTGCGTTTTCTGAACAACGCAAACCTCTTGGAAATGGAGCTTGTCAGCTAAGATTAATTGTTTCTTCTAGATTATTTAACATTTGGACGACTTAGGCCTCAGACAGAGTTCACGCGATTTGATCGTAGCAATCAATCGCTAAATACAGGCGTTACGAGTTCAAGCCGATCTGCTTGCATTTCGGTTGTGATAGTTTTCCAACACGACTAGTCGTGACCAACTATCACCCGAAATACAAGAAGATCGGCATGCAATGAACTCGTAACACTTGTCTTGTAGCGATTGAGTCGCGACGAGGACTCTGTCCGAGGCCTTAAGGGCCGGGCATACATCACGCAATTTCATCGCCTGGCGATTCTCTCGGGAAGCAACTGTTACGAGCCATTGCATGCTGATCATTTTGCCATTCGACTGTGATAGTTATTCGGCGCGACTAATCCCTGACCATTTTTTCCCCAGGCATACTTCCTTCACTGAAATCATCGCGATTTGCCCGAATCTCAGCGATATCGCGTCACTGAATTCAAACGAGCAACGCGACCTAATCGCTAAGGTTGAACTTATTCTCTAAAAGTTTTTATGATCATTTCTTAGGCTTTTGGGCTGTTTTCTTGTCTACTATTTTAAATACAGTTCTATTTTGTCAGAGTGCATTGCTTCTCCGTAAATCGAATTTCTTGCATCCATTTTTGGTGCTATCCTTGACACAAGTTTTCAAAGTCGTGAATTTCGTTCAGACTCGGTTTGGAGGGGTTATATAACCCGCTGGTGCAGAATTCATGGTTATTTTGTACGGTAGCGCCATTTTCTGGGGCTACCGTGAGTTTACTATAGAGGGTCAAAATCGCGGATTCGCTCTAAATTTGTTGTGGGGGAGGGGGCTTCTTGGCTCACCAAACATGATTATCATGATGATTGATTAGGAAAGCACCATTTTCTAGCAATCTGTGCCAACCATAACAACAATTAGCAACTTTTCGTGGGTCAGTTCAAATCAAAAAGTCTGGTAAAGACATCATGCGAAATGAACACAGTATTCGTGGTCAAAACATCAAATAACTTCACGGCTCAAAGATTCATGCAAGTCTGTCACTTTGACATCTGCCATTTATTTACTCACCGCAACTCAACACGTATGCCCCAAAACGCGATGCGAGCATGATTTTTGTGATCAGCATGTTGAATGACTTCCCTAGACGGAATTTCAGCCAAATCTATGCTTGTCTCCTCACGTTCCTACCGTGGCCCCAGAAAATGCCGTTTTACCAAGCGCAACAATTATGATAACTGGCATCAGTGGATCGAATAACCCCTTTGGACCGAGTTTGAGCAAAATTTGCGACTTTGAAACAATGAGGCCCAGATACTGGAACGGAGTCGAGTTTCAATGTGATCCTGCGGTTGGAATTGATTAAGGGCTACAAAATAAAAATACAAATGAAAAAATCAAGCCGAATGTAATACAAATACTTAAAGGCACCGTCCACTCTAAGTTGAGGGTGTTGAGCACTTGGCAGCATATAACTGTAGGGCCTCCTATCAAGCCAATGCCCAAGTCGCGGCGCAAAATGCCGCTTCGGAAGCGAGAAAATCGCTTGGGAATAGCGAAGATGCACGAGGACCCCCAACAACGCCCGCCCTCCCCATCCATGCCCGCCCATTTGTGCGCGCTCATCCAATCACCGTTCTGGAAAGCCGGTTTGTGTGTTCTCCGGAATGGGGATTTTTGGGATTTTCGCGGATTCTCGACCTCATATTTGGAATCAGGGACATGAGAAAGGTCCGAAACGACAAAAACCTGGAAGTCGAGAATCTGGGTGGACGGTGCCTTTAAAGTAGTTTAAGAAGGTATAGTATGTGCTCAAGTGGGAGAAAGTGCATGAATGGCCACAGAAGTATGTCCATGAACAAGCAACTAGCGACTTAGTCGCCGCGATCTCGTCGCTACCTGCAGCAAATCGCGACGACCAGAAATTGTGGCGATGAAATCGCGTGATGTATGCCCGGCCCTTTAGGCTGCAAAAAACTAGCTTTCAATAGAAAGCGTATGCGTCCGAATTTTGGTTGCAGAAGCTGCTGTTTCGTCTTTTATTGTTAGTGCTGCTATAACCTGTCCTGATGGGCCTGATCTAATTGCACCAGGAGTTCTGGTTAATCGAACTCTTGTCAAGTGAATGTGTCACAAAAAGTTTGGCTGTGTTATTAGTCAGAGTCAAGCGCATGACACATTATCATGCATGAACACTATTTTTTGGTGCTCAAGTCGCACGTGATGTGTTCTCAGGTGGGCAGACCATTTTAAATCTGCCTATCAAACAGTCGGTCTAGTGCATTCCACGGTGGAATGCCAAGACTACTGCCCAGGCCGTTTACTTCTGAGGCCCAATGTACGGCTTGTCCAACTGAGAATAAAGAAGCTGCATCATATGCTAGCTTGTAAGTACTAACTCGCATCTTTAGGTTTCAAATTCGCTTGCCTTCCTCAAGGAGACTATAGCTGCGCTAAAACAATAGCACTTATGCCATTGTTTTCAAAAAATCACACAGTGGAAAAAATAGCTGGCTAGATCGACAATGATGCGCTAGCAACTTGAAAGGGGGATAGAGGCAACTGATAGTAACGAGATAAGGTGTTTTGATGATAAAAAAAGATATGCTGGCTTGCTCATTTGTAGTTTATAATTGCAGAAAATGGACGATACTGTGATTGATGTTCATGACAGCGATGGGACAGGTAGGACTGTCAATACCTGTCAGATGTGCACATAATGTTCAAGCTTTGCTTGCAGGATCTTCATCATCAAGACCCTGGATCAAGAATACTTCCAATTTTCCAAGTTCGGTGTTGTCTCTAGTTACCCTAGCAATCCTTGGTGAGCAAAGCCAACGAATTGCTTCGTGAGAATGTTGTGAAATCAGGGTAGTAAACCTCGCGAGATATGTCTCGACGTAAAGAAAGTGAGGTCACGACGCCGACTGAAGTACATGCTGCTCAAGGCCATGCCTTGGTCGCCGCAGAACTTGCGCGCGCACGAGCGATCAAACCTTTTGGTGATCTTCGAGCGCCGCACTGTCACTACGTCATATACATTAATTTGATGGAGCAGTACCAAACAGAGCAAAGACGCGGCAGACAGAACAGTGGCTCGTAAAAGCTCCAAAGTAGATCACATGCAAGCTTGAATGTCTCTTAATCTGCTTTGTAACAGTTGTAAAACTGCGTACTGCCCCCTCCATGGTCACAATAAGGGCGCATACTGATGTCTTTTCCAAACACTGTGGATTGCAGTACAGGATATTACTAAAGTAAAGCTAGAGGTGGGAGATGCGAGCCCCATGTTATTCCATGTATTACAGGCTGCTTGCTAGTAGTTATTATAAAAATAAAGAAAATTGCTGAATTATTTAGTAGTGAGGAAAAAACAGCAAAACAAAACAAAAACATGAAAGCAAAAACAGAAAGTGCACAGGGAAAATTGGTTGTTGCAAAAATAATTACTAAGTTAGTGTAACTGTGAGTTCTGATAGATTCACACTATACTCTATGGTTAATCTAAACTCATCTTTCCCATGCAAAGTACTTCGAGTAAAAACTCAGGAAAGTAAGAAGAGCCGCTCGCTGGTTATTTGGACATAAATCAGCTGTTAATATCGGTTGCATATAGGGTGCGTTGAAACTAGTTATGCGTGCCTTGTCCCCGCACATAGGACAAACTCGACGTGCTCGACGTCCAGTCTGGTGCACTTCCTGCGTCTCCACCCGGCCGCACTATTTTTCTTTGCCTGCGCAGCGCACGAGGCTGGCACCTTCAATAACGACCTCCATAATTTCATTTGGCAACCGAGATGAGGGTAAGAGAACGAAAGCCGCCAGTTTGAGCCGCCTTTCGCGGCCAACTGGTCCTTTTGCAGTGTTGTTGCATGTCGTTCCAGGACCAGCAGTCCGCGGGCGGCCCAAACTGGCGGCTTTCGATCCCCTACCCCCAGGTGAGAGACAGCCGCTGGACGAATCGCGGCCAAGCAATGCGTACTGGTAGTTTTTGTTTCGTACGTTGCAACCACCACCAAGAGAGGGATTGCTTTGGGCTCAGGTGATAAATCTGAGCGCCATTTCCTTGTAAGCTTTTTATAAGCATGGATTAGGAAGGTTCGATCGTGAATCAGCGACACTTTTACAGTTTATCTGGTGAACTGTCTTGTGCACGTATCTACATTCACATGCGGGCTTCTTGCTGTTGCCATGGGACTCCTAGTTCATCACTGGTACTGGCTACACGGCGTGAAACTGACACGAAAAGAGGTATTCAGTGAGGTAAAAATATAAAACGTAAGAGCAAAAGTTTTTTTTAGAGACTATTCTTCGACGAAGCCAATCTGCTTGAAACATCTAACCTTTTTGAGTATACTTATGGTCCTTGTACCGAAGGAACTACTCCCATTTCAGGTATTATTTACCTGTTAGAGTGATCTGAAGGGAACTGTCACAGGATTCTCTTGGCCCGCGCTAGTGCGTGTCTAGACTCTTAAGTTCTCGCTTATTGCTCAAATCACTGCAATAGAAGTGCGGGATTGCTTATCCTCATGCGATGGATCATCCTTCACTGGTAACCAGGCGTCGACATTGCGAGGCAAAGGATAAGCCACCTCCATATCGGAATCTTTGACAGCATTGTTTTGAAGTCCACGCCTGTCCTTCTCGTTTTTGCAGCAAGACGAAACTCGAGCAATGTGATTTTCTTTTTGAAATCAGTACCCATTAGGAATGCTGCAATGCTATGGTCAAAATATAAAGGCATTCGTAACACGCAAAGACCGTGCGTTCGACCTAGATAGTTCGCGCACGAAAGAGACAGTAGGTGGTAAGAGAACAAAAAGAGCGCTTGATCAGAGAGACGCCGACATGTCCGCAATCTTTGCGTGCTATAAATCGCGTATAGAATCTCCTTATTTTTCAACCAAATCACAGTCAAATCGGATAAGTTGAAGAATGGTTTTACGATCATTTATGAGAACGGCGTGACATCTCCTTTCAGCTCAATAACATCTGTGTAGCAATCATAAATAGGTTTGACATAAAAAAAGAATTCTCAAAAATTTGTAGCCGCATTTTGCCGCTATAAGCGCGGCAGCGATTTGCCATCGACTCGCAAATTGAATGCTGCCTTGCTATGTTGTGCAGGAGTTTGGAAGGTTATTACTGTTGCGCTAAAGGAGGTCTATCGATAGCCTTGCTCTGTTACATATGTATTTAGCTGGCTCCGTCATCATTGTCATAGTAATTCAGATACCGCTTTGGATAATGACGCCGTTTTCGGACAACCCTTTCCCACATTCTGTACTAAAAAAATTACGATCGCGTCTTCGTTCAGAGCAGAAAGTTTTTTTCAAAATATTTCTCTATTTCAGGTCCAGAAAAGAATCCAGATGCTCCCACGACTTTATGGCAAGCACTTTTCTGTGATGACAAGCAGTTGCAGATGCAAAAAGTCTGTAAATGTATTGAAACACTTGTAAGCAAATAATGCCTCTTCAGTTTTACAAAGAGCACTACGGCCCGGTTTGGGAGACAGCGAAAAGGAGAGAACAGGAGTGGAAGGCAATAGAGGTAGGAGTAATGTGTTTTGAGGATTGCTTTTATTAACAAGGTTTGTTAGAAGAACTATTCGTCAAGAAAGGAAACGAATGGGAAGAACGTGAACAGCTCTAACTAAGAACCTTTTATGGCTATCGTAATATTGAAACGACTTCATGCTTTCACCATTAATTGATAGGATTGAACGATATCGGTGCAAATAGTAACTTTCTGAAGTTATGTACATAGTTTTAATGTTTATACGTATATGATGGACAACAAACACCGCGTTGAGAAACTTACATCTTGAACAACTCCTGCTAAAATTGTCAATGACAGAAACGAATGGATTACTAAGTATATCAATAATGGAAAAAGACAAACACTGAGATAACAAAGTAGCACTCGTCATCAGCAGAGAAGTTCTTCGAAGGAGAGATATGCATTAACAAAAGGTTACTCAGGTTATTCGTTGACAGCGAAGGTCAAGCAAACAAATTTTATGGCCAAGAAAGTTGACCAATGCGTGGTACTAGTCATTCTTGGCAAGCGTTTGAGCTTTTACAAGAGCTGCGTATTTTCCATCGGCTTCAATCAGTTCTTCGTGCGTTCCATATTCAACAACTGCACCATTTTCAATATAATAGATTCTGAGATTTGCAAGCACATTATTCATGAAGCGTTGATAAGAGAAAAGCAAACCTGTCTGCATTTTTGATCGTACTTAACCTATGAGCTATTGCAATAGTCGTTCGACCTTGGCTAACTTCATCAAGCGCAGACTGTATAATCTGGAATGTTTGAGGATAAATGTCTTCCTATTAGGAAAGAAATCAATAGCATGTTGGTACAGTAGTCGCTCAATTAGCAAATGCTAACGAGAAAAGCCTTTTGATTCGAAGTGGCCTTCTCCAACAAAATATATACCATAATAACTCTCTTGAGATGCCAACACAAACCTGTTTTTCAGAAGTGCTAAACCCCTCACTAGACCTAGATGTAGGCGTTTGTTTGGGCTCAAGTTGCAGGAGGAATTTAGTAATTTTTGAATGCTTGCTTTGACTCTGACATCCTTAATTGGGTAATACATGTGGGATCTTTAGAGATGTGTACCTGAAGCAACTTTTCATCCAAGCGAATTCAGATTTCAAGCTGAAATTGACAATGCACTTATGATGGAGGAGAATGATCCTAACGTCATTTACTACCGTTCAGCATAATTGAAAGTCCGTTTGCAATTAATTCCACGGTCTTTTAACTGACAAGCACCTGAACGGGAAAGACCAAACCGAGTCAAGATGTTTCCTTTGTGAGCTTCCCGCTTTCTTCATTTGCATTGAAATGTATTGCTTGATCTCTCTTCCATGGATCTCGCTCGCAGAGGAATTCCAGCAGACCAGTCGCGGAGCTACATGGGATGAACCCATGGCGGATAGAGAGATGATTCCCGACCAAAAGCGTCCCTGTGTGTGCTGATAAGCAGCTCGCAAAAAATCGGTGCTTTCAAAAATTCTTGGCAGTTCAAAAGTATACATGAACAACTTTGAGTTTTATGTAGAGAATTTATCATCCATTACATTCCCATCCTCAACAATGTAACTTTTCTTTGTACCGGTGTGATTTTGATTGCCACGCGCGTGCATAGAATATACCGGAAGTATTACATACCTTCTCGCTTTCTGTGTCAAGTGCACTAGTAGCCTCGTCAAGCAACAAAAACTTCGGTTTACGTATCAGCGCTCTAGCTATAGCTATTCGCTGCTTTTGACCCCCAGACAAGTTGCCTCCGTTTTCTCCAACGTCTGTGTCGTATCCCTGAAAGTCTGAAGTATTCATATAGGCAATAAAATACGTTGATTACCAAAGGGAAAGCTTCGATAAAGGTTGCTGCATTCGCTTGCTTGCATGCTTCCCGCACTTCCTCCAGTGTAACATTGTTCATTCCTAACGTAATATTTTCGGTGATTGTGCCTGAGAAGGACTCAGTCAAAAAGGATTAATTCATTCAAGATGGCTTTCACCTTTGAAGAGTATAGGTTCTTGTCCAACCAAACCAATATTGTTTCTTAGATGAGCGCGACAGATTCTCTCTATGTTGTAGTCATCAATTTTCTAAAGCATTGAAAAAAAGATAAAAACAATCTTCTTGTCCTCACCTCAAAGCAATCCAAAAGTCTCACATACAAGTTAGCCTTATATTTGGTCCCTCCCTTTCAAAGATAAGCACCTCGCATTCCCTAATGCACCTCAAACCTACTATAACTCCGCTGTCTGGTGCATAAAATCGTTCGAGAAGTTGGACGATTGTGCTCTTGCCGCAGCCCGATGCTCCAACCAAAGCAATAGTTTGTCCTTTGCGAGCGAATAGGTTCAGGTTTCGAGCCACCTCGAAAAGAAACTGCTTTGTACAAGTCTCAGCATTCGACTACTCTGTTATACCCTCAGGAAAAAAGTTCACCAAATACTGTCGGAATCAAAAGTCAGAACCCGTACTTTGACATCCGGTCGCGACGGATAGCAGAAGTTTACTTTTTCAAGTTTGGCTGATCCTTCAATCTCCTAAAAACGCTCAATGTTGCATACATCAATAAGAAATCTGCGGTGCTCAAATCCGAAGTACATAATGATTGGGAAAGGAGCATGAAGTATGACACCTTTTCGGACTGGTTAGAGCTGGCTGATTCATTCGTGCTGCATTACAAAGCAAAATGTTTTATCGTTTCCTTAGCCTTCTGTTGGTTTCATATTTTATACCCGGGTGAGCATAGCGTTTTGATGCTCAGTCCGAATTGCTTTACTAAGAGACGAATCCAGGAAGGATCTCTAGAGTCGCTCAACACTCAGCAAGGTGAGCATAACAGTCGAATTTTTCCCCTTTTGATACTTCCTATCATTCATTTTGCGGGTAAGATAGAAGACCGTTAAAAACATCACTGGATTGTGAAAAAACACGAAATTTGGAAATTTGAATTGAAGATATGACTATACAATGTGTCACACCACCACTCAAATCTTTCCTATATTGTGATCAGCACATTCTACTGCTATTTATGGGTGCTATGAGTGCAACTATAGTGAAAAAAGTCTGTTGTGCTTATGGCGAAATCTAGCGTAATGGCAGTGCACGCTGTTCTCAACCATCAGAAATCCGATAACGTTTGCGCGCACAAGTTCTGCTGCGTTCAGCTCGCACTTTATGGAAATAGTAACTTCTCTATGATGTAAGTGATCTGAGAAAATTGCCAACCTCGAAAACAGTTGACAATCAGTGGGTTTCCGAAAAAAAATTTCGTATGCACTTGCTCCTTTTCTACTTTCACGCTCTTTTGAACTACTTCAAGATACGCTCAACGTCAGATTCAGGCTTCTGAATCAAGGCTTTACTGCAAAAGACTTTTCCTGTGAAACTTTGCGTTAACAGGTTTTTGAGGCGAGTAGTGCAAAATTAAGGTCAATGACTAAGATAAGAAGAAATGAACAAATATTGTGAAACCAGCAACTCCACTGACAAATAGTACTCTTCCAGTTGATGTTCACGCATAAATGATTGGGTAAATTTGGTTACTCTGCTACATATACTCGAGTCATGTGTAATTTGATATGCGTATTGTACAGCATGCGTGACGAACATGTAACATTAAAACTTGCTCATTTCCAAGACTCTTGGTTCCATGTCTCTCTTGATTTGATTGGATATGTATAATACCAGTGTGTCATCTCCGCTTGGCGGAGATTCGCACTGGCTCCGCCATCATTATGCCTTCCTCATACTCGCATTACGATGATATACTCGCATTACGATGATTCGCTATGATGAACATCACAAATGAATTGTAAACAACTGTTCATTCTTGAAGCGTCTCCATGTAAGATCGGTAATTTTGAGAAAGAAAAATCATTGCAAAGAAACAAATGCGAATTTGAAAGGCTTACTGAATTTATTTCGACTTGATTTCGTCATAAAGATAATAGTTACCTCGAGCTACATTCTCGTGCAAAAATCTTTTTGTTTCTTATGTGGAACCTTGCCAAATTGACTATATACGCGATCACACTTTTTCGGCGCTGCATCCGCAGAAAAGCAGCCTCTTTGAGCACTTTTTGGACTAAAATTTATGGGGCCAGATTTACTTGTCAGGCAAATCTCTTGACCTTGCAAAAAGTCGAATTGCGACCTAGTTTTGCATGCCAAAATTCGCATGGACCCGCTTGAAGTGCTAATTTTGAAGGACCCGATTATCGAACCGGATCTTCCTTCATCTGACAATGAGACTACATGCTGGTACGGTATGTTATGCAAAATTGTAGCTCGATAGCTTGGCTGCAGCTCTTTCTGTGAATTTCGTAACTGACAGACATACACACACGCACAAAAACACTGATGCTAAGCGCTTTATTATAAGTCATGGTACTGGCACTAATTTCTGAAGTTTGTACCGCTAGAAAAGACTTCATCGGGGAGTTACTAATTAGGATGACGCCGGTTGCCGCGTGCAATGGCAGGCTCACTCAGTAAGTTGTAAATGACTGGATGATAAACATACTGCAATGTTTCACAAAGTTATATGTGCATATGATTGAGCTTGTTGTTAATGTAGTCTATCTGGTCTACTAACATCAGTTATTTCATAGGCAGTCTAGAAGGTTGAGGATTGTGCGATTTAAGTGTCATGCGGAAGTAGCCCTTTCCAGCACACCATCGCAAAAATGCGAGGCTATAACGTAAGAAAAGCCGGAAATATTGTCGGTACGCTGAGGGACCTATGCCTTAGTGGAGCAGTCTCGCGATCTATGTTCCTCCTCTGCGAAAATTGCACATGCCCCACAGTCAAGATGGCCTGCAGCTCCTTGCGTCCTGGCCTTGTTGGGAAGTGTTCCATTTTTCCAAATACAAAATAGAAAGCCTTGGGAAAAGCCTGTTCATCCTCGCCGCTTACTCCCTTTTAAGGAAATTTTTAAACCCAGCCTAGAGGACTCAAGATAAGAGAAAAAATCTAGAATTTGAGTCTTTAGCCGAACACTGCCTAAGCTAATGGATTTGATTCATCTAATCACAAAGATGTCGACCTTACTCATCTCCTTCGAAAACCCATTTCGCATCTCTAAGGACTTAAGATGTTCATGAAGGCGATTCAGTCTTGCATTTCAAGAATTCTCTGAAGGCGCAGTTGACGTCTCTTCTGTCAAAAAAATTTCTGACATGGTTTTCCTTTTTGAAAAAATTTCCTGGACTTAAATTGCTTTTCAGGTAGCTGTGTCGCTACGTAGCAGAGCGCGTTACAGTTCAGTTGATGTGAGCTTAGATCACGGGTTATGTCGGCTAGGTTATGGCTCATTTCTGGAGTGTGACTGGCCACAGCCTAAGGCCATCGCTGCTAATATATGACAAATGTCACATTTATCTAAATTATCTACTTAATACGCTTTGAAGCATGCGGAAATACTGAGTTTTCGAAGCAGTGGATGGTGTCAAAGAATTTGGCAGAGCGTGTGCCTGAAAGGTCCTCTTATCTGCCTTCATTTTTTAATGTTTAATTGCTTTCTTTTGCCAACCACGAACACGTTTCTAAGTAAGTAACCACTCAGCTTTAGTATAAAAAAAACAACGGTTATCTGTTGTGCCCGAGAATATAATGGAGTTTTTAATATCAAAAAAAGTTAAGTCGTTGATGAAGCACGCTCTAAGATTGGCGCGATATGTACGGAATGGTCTTCCTATACGAATTATTCGCATTCGTATCCTTTTGCCGCGCTTAAAGAACAGTGCCTAGCGCGGCCAATCAGCTGTGTTTCCCACAGCTTATGTTTATGCATTTGTTATCAGTTAGCTTATCAGTAGATTCCTAGGCGTTTGTTTGTCTCATTGTATATATAAGCTGGGCATCATGGTAGCCATTTAGTTGCCTGAGCTCTATAGCTCGCTTTTCTACTAACGCACAGAACAATCACAGGGTCACAGAATAATCACAGTAACACAGCACTGATAGAATGTCAACTTTTGTCTAACCCTATGTTATTGGCATTATATTAGTATATTATTCATTATTATCCACAATTCGTAGTCGCTTTAGTATTAATAGTATTACAATAAAGGTTTAATTACCCAAGTTAGAGGTGCACGCTGTGCACAAAGTCCCGCGTGGCACTCAATCGATACCCATACACAGTGCATAAAGTGCATACAACTGGTGCATCGGCCAAACAGAGGTACGGTTTGTTGCCGAAGAGTAACGCTTCCATTTAACAGCTTGCACGTTACTCACCGCACAGAGAATAATCACAGTTGTCACAGTTATTGCACAGCGAGATATAGTACCTCACAGCAAGAATCATAGTTCTCATTGAGTCACAGTACCTTACATAACTAATCCAACTAACCATGAGCAGTACAGTAAGTTCACTTAAAGGACTCGTTACTAAAAGAAATGACGCAGCCGTGAATTGGCTCCAGAACTCAACTCAAGCGCTCACGGACATACAACCCAAAGAAAGCGCAAGGAGAATAAAATCCTGTGATAGATACATAGATCTCCTCGAAACGTCATTAACAAAGCTGACCAAAGCCTTTGATGAGGCTCCGGAAACGACAGAAGCAGAGGGGGATCATTTGGACAAGTATATCGAAAAAACCCAGGCAACGACAATGAAACTGTATGGACACAGGACACAGCTAGAAGAGACCCTAGAAGACATCGGGATAGAGGCAGATGACCGGTCGAACTCATCTGCAGTCAGTAGACTCCCGGTAATCCCAATCCCTACATTCAAAGGAAAAAAATGGGAATGGGATAACTTCTGGGCCTTGTACAAAGCTAATGTCCATGATCAAAACTTGTCGCAGCTTCAGAAGTTCAATTATTTGCTGGCATCCCTAAGTGGGGAAGCGAAACAATCTGTCTCGCGATTTTTCGTCTCAGCAAATAATTACGAAAAGGCCATCCAACATCTCACTAAGCGATACGGAAATAAGGATGGTATAGTCCTAGAACTGAATAGAAGCCTACATAATTGTATAGCAAAGGGACCCAGCACGATGGAACGACGACAGGTGTGGGACAAACTGTCAACCATCGCAGCACAGTTGGAAGAGCATGAGCAACAGCTCAACAGCCAACTAACAATTCAAATTTTTGTACAAGAGTTCCATCCGCGCATAAGAAAGGCAGCTATGGAAAAAAGAATACGCCATCAAGAGGAGCACGGGTCCCAGTGGACCTTGAGCCAATGGCTTGATGCCATCGACAACGTCATCTCACAGGAAGAACAGCTGAACCATATGCTCTCAGTCGACGGTCAATTCACAGGTCCTCCGTTGCACAACACAACAACCACCAAAACACTTCCAGATCTGGAGAAGAACTGGAAGCGCAGAATCCTATGCAAATGTGTAGAGATAAAGGGCACAGATGGACGACCTGCCCCCAAATACCCACAGCAATACAAAAGAGAAGGTTTCTGTTATAAGCTCCTGCAAGACGAAGGCGGTTGGTTCGAGGCGCGACGTGGCTGTGACGCGGCTGTGACGCTGCTGTGACGCAGCCATGTCGCAGCCGCGTTGC